AAAAAAAAGAGACTGGTTCAAAGATTGCCATTTTCTTTTTTTCTTCCCTTTTTTTCATTCTCCTTTTTAATAGGAAAAGAAAAAAAAATATATTAACATTTCAAAAGATGGGAAGGGCACCAAAGGCAAAGGAAATGGTAATGACCATAACAGCCATTCCAGCACATATAAAAAGAGCTAGTGAGAGGACAGGAGCCAGGGAAGGAAAACAAGCATAATCCTCCTGGAAGAAAACTAAAGTGTTCAATGAGCCTGGGAAGAAAGGAGAAAGAAAAGTTAGTATGATAAGCAGTGAGGCAGACCTGACATTATACAGAGCAATTTTATAGCAAGGAGAAGTGCACATTCCTGTCTACGCCAACAAAGCAAGATAGAGATAGATGAACAGGCTCTTCTTTACTGCTCCTGCTGCAAGGGACCATCCAGGGCTACTACTGTGAACACATATTTCATGTCAATCTTCAAGTAGTGACTGCTGTCATACCTTTGACTTTAACCTGATGCTTGGTACACTCTGGGCAGGGAAGGAGGGTAAATTCCTCTGTCTGATACATTGAATAGTCTGTGCTTGCAACCACAATCCGGTCACCAGGCTCCCAACTACTAACATCATCCAGAAGATTCAGTATCACTCCACCTACAGCTTCTACCTGGAAGCCTGATATTGGGACACCTAATTAATAAAAAAAAAAAGTAAACACAATACAAGATTATATTCACCTTTATATGAAACCATCTCCAAGAACATACTAATAAGAAATGTATGAGATTTCACAAGCTCCAAAGACCTCTAAAGTACAATTCTGCTCTGAAATGTGCCAGTGTAAGATACTATTACAGTCTGCTTATTTGGTGGATCTCAAATAAAACAAAGGCAAAAGGTGCAACTAACAGTGACAGGAAAAAAATTAGAAATTTTTTAAAATAACCCCATATATCATATGGCAACAATTTATAGGTCCAGCTACCTCTACTTGTTATAAGTCACATTTTTCTGCCATTTAAAACTCTACAGATGTAATCAAGGAACTAGCAAAACAGAGGTAGGGGAACTTTCCTTTTTATTCACAACCAATAAAATAGTTTGGCAGGTTAAATTACATACACATGCTTTGTGTAAGTTCATAGAATCACAGAATGGTTTGGGTTGGAAGGGACCTCAAAGATCATCTAGTTCCAATCCCCTGCCCATGGCAGGGACACCCTCCACTAGACCAGGTTGCCCAAAGCCCCATCCAACCTGGTCTTGACCCCTTCCAGGGATGGGGCATCCACAACCTCTCTGGGCAACCTG